AAGCATAATTTACTACTGATCCTATAACAAAAAATAAGGATTATTATTAAGCCTATGTAAAATATAGAATTTAAAAAATTAATTTTTAAAATTGTATATATAAAATTACTAAAAATAAAATTATTTTACATTTATACAAACTAAGCAAAAATTAGAATTTAGTTATATAGATTAAAATGAAAATTATCAAGTATGTAAAATTATCAGAAGAATTATTCTATTATTATTATAAGATTATTGAAAAGATTACTTTGCATTTATACAAGTTAAATCAAAAGCTAGAATTTGGTAAAATCATCTAATAATGTAAACTCCTTTTGATTACTTCTGATGAAAATCTTTGATTATCTAATAACATAAATCCTTTTAATCATTTATAAATCATTTTGATCATTTATAATAAATAAAAACTTTATTTAAGAAAATAAAATTTTGATCATATAAAATGATAACATATGATAAAATATGATAATCTTATACTATGATGCATAAGTAACTAATTTGAGTACTAGTATAATTAAACTTTAAAGTTTAATTATTTATACTAAAAAATTACAACAAATATTAAAATCAGTTTTATAGAATTTAAAATATAAAGCAAAATTAGAAATATCAACAATATGAATTGTAGCTTATGAAAAATGTCAACAATATGAATTATAACTTATAAAAAGGCATTAAATTAAAGACGTGAATATTAAAATACATTAATAAAGAAAGAAAAAAAGGAAAATATTCTAATTTAACTACTCTATGTCAGAATTAGTTAGTAATTACTATGAATTTGCTCAATTAATCGGCTTATCTTTGTATTTTATTTTGATCTTCTTGACGGCCATTTTCTTGAAGCAAATGTAATTCTTCCTTACATTGACGATATGCTTCTTTAAGATGGTTAAACTGTTTCCAAATGATCACATTTTGTAGAAAATTCAGTAATTTGAGAAAGTGAATTAGAAAGTTATTCTCTAAGTCCAAATTCTCTTGATGTAATTTCAAATTTTCTTCATGAATACAGATATCTTGAAAAGGATCTGAGTTCTAAACAAAGAAAAAAGGTAAACTTTAGAATTTCGAAGTTGGGCATCTTTGGTCAGCAAGTATCAGTTCACTAAAAGGTTACCTAATGATGTTTCATAATACAGGACAATAGAGGCTAGTTCTAAGCAAGAGGAACTTATGTTACAAGGACCTACAGTTTATAGGAAAAGTGTTAGTATGCTGCAGTGTTGTATATTCCAAGCTCAGGACAAGCTAGCGCACATTCCATATAATCGTAGCTCCCAGTCTATGACCATTCTTAAATCTACCTGTCTTACCTTAAGAAACTTTTTCACTTCTGAAATGTCTGTATCAAAGTGAAGCATGACGTCGGGTGGAAGGAGATTTCTTTTTGTTAACTTGAGTCATTTTGCAATAATTTTAGCTACGAAGAAAATTTTTTGTGAAAATAGAAGAAATTTTGGACACGATATTTATAATTGAACAAAGTGGTAGGAAAAATTCTCAGGAGCGTGAGAAACAGAAAGATAAACAAAATTTTTGGATCGCATTGGGATGATCATCCTGCATGGAACAAGTCGTGACCTTGCATCATCATCAATAACATAATTACCAAAAACTTAGATCGTTGCTTGCTTTAAAAATATTTGAATTATTTCACATTAATCTCTAATAAAGTTATAAAGCTCGTAAATCCAATGTCTAATCTTTCAAAGTAAATCAACTTTCTTAGTGTTTTTGAATTTTTCACAGATCAAATCGGTGTTTAAATCAAGTTTTTATTATACCTTAGTGTCCTACCAAAACCACGACATCAGCTTTTAAGCTCGGAACAGCAAAACAAGTATGAACAAAAGTACGATGAGCTAGTATCTATAAAACAAAGGAAACAGCCACCTCCATATGGACAGAGAGCTGGTTGGAAACCAAGAAATTCGGAAGAATTTGGCAATGGTGGTGCTTTCCCTGAAATACATATAGCACAATATCCATTGGACATGGGTCGTAGGAAGACGGTGAGTACGCTATTTGAATTGGTTGGTTTGTTTATGCATTTGCGAAATTTATATAAGTGTATATTTGATAGACGAAAAGCGCCGAATCGCTTGCATTACAAGTAGATTCTGAAGGAAACATTCAATATGATGCTATTGCGAGGCAGGGTCATTCCGAATCTCGTATTATTCATTCACAATTTAAAGACCTTGTACCTGTCAATCAAAGAGCTGATATTGAAAAGGTTACTTTAGAAAGACCTAGCGAGGATGAAGTAAAGGAGACAACAGAAAAAACAAGAGAAGCTTTAGAAAAGATTGTACAGGGTAATTAATTAATTATATGAAATCAAAACGTTTGATTAAGAAATCAATCCTAATTGATAACATTTGGATAATGTTAGGTAAAATAAAAGCTACGCAACCTAAAAATGTGAAAGTCAATAAACCTCTAGAACCAACATATATCCGATATACTCCTGGACAGCAAGGTGAAGCTTACAATTCAGGTGCTAATCAGAGAATTATTAGAATGGTAGAAATGCCAGTGGACCCAATGGAACCCCCGAAATTCAAACATAAAAAGATCCCCCGAGGTAATTTTTAAGTGCTTTTTTAATTTCTGCATGTTAATAACTTAGACTAACATACTGTTATTTGCTATATAGGTCCACCATCACCACCGGCACCAGTATTACATTCCCCCCCTCGCAAAATTACTGCCAAAGAACAACAGGAATGGATCATACCACCTTGTATATCTAATTGGAAAAATGCAAAAGGATATACTATTCCACTTGACAAACGTTTAGCGGCAGATGGACGAGGCTTACAAGAAGTTACCATCAATGATAACTTTGCAAAATTGTCTGAAGCTCTTTATGCAGCAGATCGACATGCTCGTGAAGAAGTGCGACAACGTGCTTTGATGAGAGAAAAACTTGCTCAAAAGGAAAAAGAAGAAAAAGAAAAGCGTCTACGCATGTTAGCGCAGAGGGCACGAGAGGAAAGGTATGAAATCTTTTAAATTTATATATATATATATATATATATAAAAACAAAATACTAAGATCCACATCGCTGATAATATTAGAGCCGGTATCTCTTCAACGTCTGGAGGTGTATCCGGAACTGCTGCTACCGCAGAGTCCGATTCAGAGTCTGAATCCGAAGAAGAGAAAGTACGAGAGAGAGAAGAATTGAGACAAGATCGACGGAGAGAACGTGAGAGAGAATATAGGCTTTCCAGAATGGGCGCTGAACAGAGAGCTAAATATCTTGCTCGGTAACTTTAAAGTTTGATATTGTTAATTCATTATTATTATAATTAAACCTGTTGTTTAATCTTTATTATCGTAAAAAATTTTCTAGTGAGCAGAACAGAGATATTTCAGAAAAAATTGCTTTGGGATTGGCCAAACCAACATTGAGTAAAGAAAGTATGTTCGACGCTCGATTATTCAATCAATCCGAAGGTCTTGATTCTGGTTTCAAAGATGATGAAGGTAATACATTTTCAATTTGTATCATTATTTGATTTTTTTAATTAATATCGACAATAAATGTGTTTGTTTCAAATAGCTTACGATCTCTATGATAAACCATTGTTCGCTGGTACAAGTTCTTCAAGTATATATAAACCCAAAAAGGAGTACGATTCAGACCTATATGGAGGTGGTAATGCCGATAACATTAATAAGATGCTAAGTGTAGATCGGTTCGGAATTACAAAAGGATTTCAAGGAGCAGATATTGCACAGGTTGGCAAAATTTTATTCAGCATTCATTTTAATGTTTAAATATTTAATATAATAAATAAGATTATTGATTTAAATTCCAGTCAAGAGATGGACCTGTAGAATTTGAAAAAGAAGAAGCAGATCCATTTGGTTTTAATCAGTTCTTGGATGATGCTAAAAAAGGAAGTAAACGTGGATTAGATACATCGTAAGTATTTATTATCAATTGCCATTTAATTCAAATAATAAATTCACAATTTTATTTTATTCACTAGGAAATCCGAAAGTAGCAAAAATAAACGTGGCAAATATTGATTCATGATGCAAAAGTTTCTGTTTGAAACCATTTTGAAATGATCTTCACTAGTATGTCCCGCTTGTTTTATGTAATCTGATATATTCCCGATTATTCTCTCTTCGGTAATTATTGTTTACCTACGAGGTGAACCAAATATTACATGAAGATGAAGGTACCAATGAGACATGCTTGCCTGGCAAGAATTTTTTTTCTTTATGTCATTGAAGTTTATTTAAGTTGATACACGAAGACGAAACAACTACAAAAAATTAATTATAAGAAAGATTAGAAATCCCGGTCTGGAAATTGAGACGTTTGATGACTCACGCTAGATTTGTTAATGAAATAAATTACTGGATAAAAAATTATACGAACAATGATAAATATAATTTAATTATACGATTCTTGATCAAGAAACTATTTACGCTATCCTTTTTTATTTACATTAATTATATTATATTAAACTTTGTGATTTGATTCTTGTAATTTTTTTTTTTAAAAAAAAAAAAAAAGACGCAATAATCAAAACGTTGACAATTTGTTATCACCAAGTTTTAAAAAAAAAGCCCATTTATAATCCATTCATATATAAGAATTTAAAAAGGTCAAGAAAAGTAGTTGCGAAGATCAAAAACTTTCACCCACGTGATCTGTACCGATCGACCAATAAATTACAATGTTCATCATGTGTGACAGAAAAAACACATTTAAACGCGACTTTTTTTTATAATGAAAGCTTAACGTGTCTTCCTTATTCATATTATTTGACATCGTTTTATCATATATTTTCATTAACACCTCATAATTTTTATCAACAAAACTATTATTTTCCTACCTTCATGAACTTGTACCGCTCAAGGTTTCAGCATGACGCTAATCTGATAGCATTGACAGATCGTCAAACAGATTCACAGACCAAATGAGAGTCATAACCTCGGAAGTTTAAACTACGTCCTCAAGTTGATAATGTATCACCTAAAGACATTAAATTATGGAAGGTCGAAATCCATGACAATGATATTAGCAACCTATCTTTACGTGATAACGACGAACTTATCATCTTCATTCAAGATTCTATGGAAATTGTTAGATAATATGGAAAAACCTGATTTATTTGAAAAATATGCTAACAAAACTCCTCGATGGGCTGATGAACCATTCGAAGATGATACTGTCATGTTTTACAATACCGTTTGCCCCTACCCCGGCTTAAGAAATGGCACTGACAAAGGAGGATCCATGCATGATCCTGACTTCAAGAACAATCCCAAATTAAGTTTTAATAAAACATTTATTATAATATATATAATAGTTACAGTACGTTATCCTGAAGGCTATTTTCCTAAATAAACATTTTTTGAAAAGTTTGATCTATATTATGATAACTTTGTTTGAAATTTTTAAGAAAATATCCATTTAAAAAAACAGCTTTCAGAATAATATCAGACATCATTATTTTATTTTATTTTATTTTTTTTACATAATAAACTTTTCTCACTAAGTTTAAATTTAAATTTTTTTTTATATCAGATTTAAATTAAATTAAGTATTTGATTTTTTTTATACTATAATAAATTTTGTTCAATTTTTTTCTTATACAAGTTTAAATTTAATTTTATTTATTATATAGAGTATGTTACAATAAAATTAAATAAAGTGAACATTGGTATTACCAAGGATTTCAGGAATCAAAATTTAGTAATGTAATTATTAAAATCTTCTATCTTAATATTAAGTAATATACAGAACTACTTCCATATAAAAATGATAATAATATAAAATTAATTTATATTAGATCTATTTAGTGTGCAAATCAGGGTTTAGCATATTCCGGTTAATTATCCATTATAAAAAAAAAATTCCGGATTTTTTAAAAATTATCTGGCATATTTTTATATTTTCGGACTTTATATAAATTTAAATTTTTAATATTGTATTCAGATTTAAATCTTTATTTGATAATATATAATAAAAATCTAACAAAAAAAAACTATTTTAAACTTTTCTTTTACGCATCTTTAACCAAATTGTAAGTGCTTGATTAAAATCGAAATCCTGTATTTGGGGTCTTTGCAATAGAAAGGGAGGAAACTCCAAAAAAATTAAAATTTTAGTTTATAAGCCAAAAATGTTCTAAATACTATAATTTGTTTAGATTTATTATTAACTCATTTTTTATTTTTTTTTGAGTTTCCTCCCTTTCTATTGCAAAGGCCTCATTTGTATATCATCCAAACTAATTAATAATAGTAAATGAAGAGTATTATTACTAAGCTTATTACGAAGATCTAATTTTATGATATTTTGTTTGGAAATCCACATTCACATTCTACATTAAAAAAAAGTAATACTATAAACGATTTCTATAAGTTTCATTATATTAGGATAAGTAGTTGAATAATTTCAAATAAATGAGAAAAAAATTCTTCAATATTAAAATTTTGATAATTTTGATAAACAATTTTCTTAAAAAAATACCATTTGTTTCTTATATTTTCAGAATCAATTATTAGAATAGAATAATTTGGTAAATAAGATTTTCCATAAAATCTAATCAATTCTTCCAATTCTACATCTCCAAATTTTAACAACTCTTCTTTATTTCTTGGCCATTCTTTTGGATTAAGTATTTGTATTGCATTCAATAATAGATGATCCAGAAATTTCTTTTGAATCTCCAAAATAACTAAAGAAGCAAATCTAAAAATATCTGCCATTAATTCATTTTCATAATTTTCAGTTAATATTAGTTGATGTGTACTCATAAATGATGAAAATAATGGTGGAATTTGCTGAATAAATTGGTTTAAATTAAATCCTAATTTTAAATTTCCCTTATCATTTTGCTTTAAATATTCATACTGTATTTTTTGAATTGTCACATTAATTGTTATATCTAAATCAGAAAACTGAATATGTCTTTCTTGAAATATTTTGCTAAGTTTAGCAATATATTTCAAAATATCATATAAGAAGTGAAAAAATGCTAAAGTTTTCAATTATATAATTTTTCATAAAGTGTCATAATTAAATCTCTTTTTTATGCATTTGTAACTTCTATAGCAGTTAAAACTAATGTATCTAATAACAGCTCAAGAGTTATATATAAATTTTTACAGCTTCAAAATATGAAAGCTATTGAATATCAAAAATTTTATGAATTTTGATTTCTGATTTATTTAAAAAATCTTGATAACTACGTAATATATCTATTCTTTTACTTGATTTGCTAAAAAAATTTGTAACATCTTTTCATTATTTATTTAACCTTTTTGCAAAAATCAACTTAGCTATAAGTATTTTCAGATGCTAATAATAATCTATATGCAATACAATGAGTAATAAAAAGATATAGATTATTTTTTGCAATTCTAGCACTATATCATTATTTTCTTCTATTATTATACTTACACCATCTGATATAAATAACATAATTTTGTTGGTTAAATCTAAATTTTTATATAAATATTTATATTAATATTATATAAATAAAATTTAATAAATAATAAATTTAACTTTAACTTATGTTTTTTATCAAACAATGCAATTACTGCATTATATATTGTTTGTGCATCAATACTTTCTAATTGTAATAGTTTTAAATATCATACTTGTATCATTCTATGTAAATAATATTTAACATATAATATGACGTGTGATTCAGTTGCAATATCAATACTTTCATCTAACTTTATTCCAAAAGTTGAACAGGTTGCTAAACCTTGCTAAGTTTTATCTTCAATTATTTAAGTAAAAGCATCCAATATTTTAAAACTAGTAGTATGATTATCATATATTGAACTATTATCATTACTAGCTTTAATATATGGTACTCTGATAAAATGTGAAAAATTGATAAAATTTTGAAGTTTATGTAAAAGAAGATTTTTAGATATTAACTAAAGATAGTCCCTATAATTAATTTAATAATATGTTATACAGTCAACTCTTTCTACAACGAATTTTGATATAACGAATTTTACAATACAACGGATTTTCAGTGTCGGACA